TCCCCCTCCCCCTCCTCTGGGGTCTCCATGGAGTTGTGGCGGGGCTGTGAGGCCGCGTGGCATCCCCCTGGTGGCGGAGGGGCGGAGCCTGCTCAGGGTCACCGAGCGATCGTCTCCACCCCCCACCCCACCCTGTTGTCCATGTGTCTCTCCCTGCATCTTTTTTCCCACGTCTCGACCACTCGTCGTACCCCCCCCCACCACCCTGTGTTTCCACCCTCGTGGTGTCCACCGCTCCCCCCTGCATCTCCCCCCCCCTCCACCCCATGTCATTGTCCAGGCCTGGCGACGTTCTTGTTTTTTTTTCAACATGAACTTCCCCGTCCCCCCCCCCCCTCTCGTCTCTTCTCACCTCCCCACCCTACGTCTCCCACCTTCCCCTACGTCTCGCGCCGTTTCTAGACTCTTCCCCCCCACCCCCACGTCTTCCCACACCTCCCTCCGTGCCTCACGCCATTTCTCGTCTCTCCCCCACCCCGTCGTTGTCCAGGCCTGGCGACGTCGTTCTTCAACATGAAGAACTCGAGCCTGGCGCGTGACCTCATGGACCTGCTGGTGGAGGCCCACCAGGAGGTCCCCACCTGGCTGGAGGGCGTCGCCTACGGCCAGCAGAGCCGCAGCGGGGCCTGGGGCGGTGGCGGCCGCGGCAAGAGGTGCGTGCGTGGGCACGTGCGTGTATGTGCGCGCTTGTGTTACACCTCTAAGTGCACACAGCCTGACACAAGCGCCATGGTGGCACTTGTTGTTGTTGCTGTGCGACTTTGGCTTTGTGCGTTGGCGGTTAGGGCAGCTGTTGGGCAATCTCCCCAGCGTGGAGCAGCAGCAGCAGTGCACTCCCTCCGCTCTCACCATCTGCCTCATCACTTCACCCCCCCCAGCCACCTACCACTTCTCCACTCTCCCCCCTGCCTCTCTTCCCCCTGCCTCCCCCATGTGTTGTTTCTCGTGGCTGGGTGAGCGTCTCTTTCTGCCATACAGTGCTTAGCCACCTCACTGTCAAATCACAGCCGTCAATCTACATGGACACCGTCATCAGCCAGACCCATAGACTCACACCGAGATCGACTCCCACCGGTTATCTGAACTGGTCCTGGACCTCCCCTAGGTCGTCTCAAATAAGTACCAGTGGCGATGTATAAAAACATCAAAACCATCACCACTCAGGGAGACAAAGGCGGCCAGGCGTGGCGCTGGCCACCCACCCCTCGTGCCGTTCTGGCCTCAATAGGTGCTCGCTAACAGCACTTGCCCTAACAGTCTGTTAAGGCTATATGGACGATCTTTAATTTTATATATAGGTGGGTTTGTGCTAGTGTGCGTGTATGAGTGTGTGTGCCAGTGTGTGGTGTGTGTACTAAGGTGCGTGTGGTGTGTGCGTGGCAGGAGCGGTGGCGGAGGGGCGTTTGGCGGCCGTGACTACCGCACCACCCACGGACCCCCCGGCGGTGGGGGGCGCAAGGGCGGCCCCAGCCCCGGCGGGGGGAGCAGCCGCGGAGGCTCAGGTGGGTGTCCCGCTCACGGCCACCAACACCACCAGCACCCAGCGATAGCGGTTATCTGAACCGGTGGTGGTGCGTGTGAAAGTGAGTGAACGTATCCCTGTGTGTGGGGAGCGGTAGTGTAGCGGTGAGCGTGCTGCGCTACGAACCAGGCACCCGAAGTTCGATTCCCACTCGCGGCCAACAACACCAGTGACTATTGTCTGAAGCGATCCTGGGCCTTCGCCCTGGTCGATGAGTGTTTGGTGTGTCGTGTAACCAGCACCAATGGGGACATAAAATTGTCCAGGCGTGGTGCTGGCCACCCACCCACTCGTGTGCTGTGCCGGCCTTTATAGGCGCTGCTCTTAAGGCTACACGGAGGATCTTTGTTTTTGTTGTGTGTGTGTGGGAGCAGTGGTGCAGCGGTTAGCGCTGCATTACGAACCCGGTAGACACTCGCATTCGATTCCCATTCACTGCCACCACCAACGCCGGTGATAGCGATTATCTGAACCGGACCTGGCGGCCTGCCCCTAGGTCGTTTCGGCCGCACGTGGAGTACCTGTGTAGCAAACATCGGCACCGGGGAAGACAAAGACGGCCGGGTGTGCTTCTGGCCACCCACCCACCCCGCTCGTGCGCCGTGCCGGCCTTCGTAGCCATGACGGCACTTGCCCCTCGACACCCCGTAACGGGCTGTGCGCGGGGACCTTTGTGTGTGTGCAGGCAGCTTCGGCTTCTCCGATGGAGGGAGCTACAACAGATCCCGTGGTTCCTCGGTCGACTGGTGGGACAACTGAGGAGGGGGACACAGCCACAGCTACAGCCGCGGCAACAGCCCCAGTTACAGCCGCGGCAACGGCTACGGCCGCGGCAACGGCCACCCCTCGGCAACGGCCGCGGCAACGGCCACCCCTCGGCAACAGATATCCCCCAGCAACAGCCGCGGCAACAGCCGCAGGTACCCCCCGCAACAGCTGCAGTAGCAACGACAGCTCCCCCAGGAACAACCACAGCAACAGCTACCCCCAGCAGCGCAACCATGGCAACAGCTCCTACCCCGGCAACAGCTCCTACCCCGGCAACAGCTCCTACCCCGGCAACAGCTACCACAACCACCCTCTCACAAACACCAGAGCACACGGTCAACCACACCGCCCTTCACCCCCAGCCTGGTTCCCATCACCAGCCTGGTTCCCATCACCAGCCTGGCTCTCATTACACATCACCAGCCTGGCTCCCAATCCTCTTCTAATTGCTTGAAAGATGCGGAGCACGGCTCTCCCCGCACTCCCTTCTCCCCCCGCTCCGCGTCGCTTGTCCAGTGCTGAGCGATCACTTTGGCTGGATTTATGACCCCCAACGCACGTACACACATACACGCACGCGCACAAAGACATAGATCCCATCTAAAGCCTTAACAGACCTTTTTGGGGCAAGTGCTGTTAGCGAGCAACCCCCCCTGGTGTGCCGTGCCCGCCTTCAGTCGGTGCTACTGGCTGGCACGCGCGTACTCGCACGTGATACCATCTGCGGTTGCCCAGTCTTGGGCTCGCCACACTCCGCCCCCTCTACAAACCCCACCACCTCTCCATGCACCTCTACTCCCTCACCACTCGGCCCTATAATCCACACACCAACCTGCCCAAGTCACAACCACCACCACCAGTCTCCACAGTCTTTCTCTAATCTCTCCCGGTCCCCCCCCCTCCCGCATTGACCCCCACCCCCCTCCCGCGCCCGCCACGCTCGCCCCACCGAGCCGCGGCGCCGGCGACACCGTGGGACCAGGAGAGACGTGGCGGTGGCGGGCGCTGGTGGCGGCGGCGGGTGTTTGCCGTCGCCGCCACCGCTGCCACCGCCCGTGGCCATTGCCTGAGACGCGTGACGCCGCTTGTCGTCGAAGGCCCCCCCCTCCCCTCCCCGACTGTAGATTTAACGATGCGTGACGACGACCGTGACGAGGATTCTGAAAAGCGTTACATGGCGCTCCGAAAGCCGGGATCGGTGCTGTGTGAACCCCCCTCAACCACAACCACCCCCAACCACTCCCGACACCCCAGGGTGGCGGGCGGGGGGGGGTGGACGATTCCTGGCACCCAGTGGAGGTGACGACACCTGGGGGGTTGGGAGGGGGGACAACTCCCGGCACACTTTCCGTATTGGCGGATCCACCGCTGGGTGATGAGGAGCGGGGGGAGGCAGTCCTCCGATGGTAGCCATAGGCGGAGCGAAGGTTTTGTGTTATTGAAGGAGAGGGGGGGGGCACTCGACTGCCCTGTCCCCCCTTGCCCCCACCTACCCGCCCCTCGGCGGTGGTGACGATGACGATGATGATGACGACGATGTTGTTATTGTTTGTTTCTTACGAAGCCGCTTTTATTTACGTGGTCCCCCGCCCCATGTCGTCGCCCTGTTTCTCGCTCGTGGTTTTAACTAGAGAAATTCAATAAAGAGACGATCGCTCACTTCCGGCCTCTCTCGCTCGCAACGGTTCAACAACCGCTGCCCGTTCCCCACGAGTGGCGGTGACGTCAACACGGGGCCTGTTGCCAGGCTCGGTACACTTTGAGGCCACGTGACCTGTCGAAGGCTTACCGACAGGTCACGGGACAGACCCAGGTGCCATAGGTTGGCTGACATTACTGGCAGATGCACCGCCTGTGCCCCCTACTGCGCAAACTTTGTGTTTTGGCCACCCGGCGCACTGGTACACACACTCATACACGCACACACTCATTCATACACGCACACACCACACGCACGTTAGTACACACTCATACACACTCATTACACACACACGAGTACACTCATACATGGCACACCTTGGACAACTGCCCAGCGGCGTCCTTCGCAAGCCTCCACCATCGAGGCCGATCTTGACACTGCTGGTACTCGTCTTCTGCAAGTCCACTCACTCGCATTATCAGAACAGAATTGGAAGAAAAACTGATGGCAGTTGGGCAAAATACGGAGGTGTAGGTGCTTCGTTTGTGGGGCTGGTGGTAAAGCTCCACCTACCTAAATCTTGACTTAAAGCTTTTGTGACTGCAGGAATTCATATTCTTTGGGTCTTTCGGTAAAGTCACGTAGATAGAACAATAATATAAAGGATTTAAAAATAAATAAAAATATCACGACGTTTCGATCACAACACAAGCAATCATCAGGAGAAGGGGGAAGGCTGCCGAGGCAGGCTGTTTTAAAGGTTTGAGAGATTAGCATGTCACAATGTAACAGATTAGCATGTCACAATGTAACAGATTAGCATGTCACAATGTAACAGATTAGCATGTCAATGTTAACGGCGGCTGTGTTAGTGTGAACCTGTTAATGTAAAATCAGTCGAAAATAAGTGCTAACATCGGAATGTCGGATGGAAACCTCACAGCCAGTTCTGACTTAAACTGGCTATGATAATTGGTTCTTTACCCTTCTATCTGGCAACAAAACTGACACCTTTTTGAGGTACCCATAGTGTTAAACTGGCTAGTAACCTACTACTTTCGTGACACTCCGGGTCCAACAGCAGAGCCGTGGGCTCCCGTGAGCATCAATCACCACAGCGTCCGCATCAGGAACATGCTTGACGACAATCAGGAGCCATCCCTTGACCGCACCGAGGCATCATCTGCCTCCCATTTTATCTGTAGCAGATTGAAATTCTCCTGGTACAGCCATGGAACATTGTTTTACTCCGTAGCTAAACAAAAGTGTAAAGTACGAGCCAGAGGACATCCCTGTCACGCCCCAAGGTGAGCGGGGAATGGCTCCGACTCCTACGCACGTAACTTTACCCAGGCCTGCCCACCATCACGAAGGTCCTTGAGGATGGTGATAATTGTGGCGCTGTAAGTTACTTTTTTTATGGAATGAAAACTGTGGCCACCGCTCATCCTTCAGCACCGCATGGCTCTCCGAACCTCCGAGTGAAGGCTGCAGTAAGCCGCCGTAGGGATGTTATGTTGTAGAGTGATGAAATTCTCACTTGCATCTTTCATAACGCTCGTTGAGACTGGGAATGAAAGAGGTCCGAGGTGGTTGGCCACCACCGCATCGGAATAAAGGCAGGCGCATTTTATCGATTACAAGCCGATGGTCAGCAGATCAGCTCCGCAGTAGGTCCTGGTGTCAAGGACATGGGCCCGCATCCGCTGTTTTGTCACTATGCAGTCCAGCAGATGTTCTTGCTTGGAGCGTACGTGCGTCCATGATGTGTGGAGGCGCCGGTGCCGCAACAGCGTGCTGGTAATAGATTTCTAGCAGCCTCCTATCATTGTTATTTAGCTGATCTGGTCCATGCCTTTTCAATCACCCTGGCCCAGGTGCTTGCATTATGACCCACGCGAGCATTAAAGTCACCCAACAGGATGACTCCCAGGAGGGGCCACTTTAGCCAGCACCTGGGACAGGAGGTCATCAAGGCAACGGACTCATCGGCCTTTCCCGATCCCTCCACTGATGTTCACCACCACCACTCCTCACCTCTTGTTGACGGGGAGGCGAACCCAAAGTAGCCTGGGGCATACAGCTTCCCACATCTCAACGCCACGTTCCCACACCCCCTTCATTCACACGTACTCATCCACACACGTATCAAACAACAACCCACGTTCACCACGGCACTTGTGCCAGGCTAAGTGCACTTTGAGGCAACGTGAAGCGTCAAAGGCTCTCTGCTGGCAGGAGGTCACGGGGACAAGCCAGGTGCCATGGGTTCATTACTGTGCCAGGCTAAGTGCAGGTCACGGGATAGACCCAGGTGCCTCGAGTTGACTGAGATGGTTGAACACGTAGGCTTTAGCGATCAATATCATCCATAAGAGGTTTTTTGGGTTAGATCGCGAAAATATATAAATGTTGTGTTGTTAAAACCCACCACCACCCGACACAGCCAACTAGTGAGTGTTGTCACGTAAACAGAATGTGGCCAATTCGTCACTAGTACAGCACTAGTGTATAGTAGTGTAGTGTATAGTGTAGTCTAGTACAGCACTAACCGGTGTGGTGTTGGAGAGCCAAGCCACAACATTTACAATCTGAGTACGACGTTTCGCCAGTAACACGCGTGCCAACAAGAACACTCAATTTATTTTGATAAACTAGCTCCATTAGATCAAGAGTAATTAGAGAATCTATCGAAATTGAAAGAACTAAAAATAATTTTAACCGTTACGATATCTACCGCCTTCGAGCTGCGTGGAAGCTAATCAAGTAACACATTGTTTAAATGAATGGCTATGAAGGGCACCATATTTCGATTTAAAGCTTTCGTGACTGCAGGGATTCATCTTCTTGATGAATCCCTGCAGTCATGAAATAAAAATAAAAAATTGTATTTTATTTTATTATTTTATTATTTCCACTCTACGTGACTTTACCGAAATAACCAAGAAGAAGGGCACCATACTTCAACAGGGATTACCTTGGCACGGCTATTTTAATAAACAATAGACAGGAAGGACAAGATCAAAGGGCTCCCATAATGCACATGGATAATGTGCGTTGACTCAGTAACCCCCCCCCCACTTTGCACAAGAGCGAATTAGTGTGGTCACCACATCTACACCTCGATATAAGGAACGAAACAGACTTCGTCACAAATCTGGCTGTCGCCTGATGAAGTTGGTTGTAATTACTGGCGAAACGTCGAACTCAGATTGTAAATGTTGTGGCTTGGCTCTCCAACACACCGGTTAGTGATGTACTAGTTTACTACACTATACACTACACTATACACTACACACTAGTACTGTACTAGTATACTACACTATACACTACACACTAGTACTGTACTAGTATACTACACTATACACTACACTACACACTAGTGCTGTACTAGTATACTGCACTATACACTACACTATACACTAGTGCTGTACTAGTATGCTACACTATACACTACACTATACACTAGTGCTGTACTAGTATGCTACACTATACACTACACTATACACTAGTGCTGTACTAGTATACTACACACTAGTGCTGTACTAGTATACTACACTATACACTACACTATACACTAGTGCTGTACTAGTATACTACACTACACTATACACTACACTATACACTAGTGCTGTACTAGTATACCACACTATACACTACACTACACACTAGTGCTGTGCTAGTGACGAATTGGCCACGTTCTGTTTACGTGACAACCCTCACTGGTTGGCTGTGTCGGGTGGTGTCGGGTTTGAACGACACAACATTTATATATTTACGCGATCTAACCCACAAAACCTCTATTATGGTTGCTTTTACTTAAGATTTTTTTTTTATATGCCTTCGATAGTAATTTATTATAATGCTACGTCTCCACTCGCACAACCCCGCGCACCAATCACACGTCGCTCGCACAAGCGCGGCCGCCGTGGGTGGGTAACGGAGATGGTTTAAAGGGCTGTGGATGGGCGGGTATTCGGGACGGGTCTCGGACCGACGCACCGATCGCACGCGCGGAACGGGGATCAGGGATCAGAGGGCCGAGACGTCACTCGTACCCGCGTAACCGATTGGGGACTTATTCTTAGGTTTTTTTCGGTAAAGTCACGTAGGTAAAAAATAAACTTAAAATTGTGTTGCCTCCGAAACGTCGTGATTTTTATTTTACTTTATTCATTTTAATTTCATTTTTTTACCTACGTGACTTTACCGAAAAAACCTAAGAATATGAATCCTTGCAGTCACGAAAGCTTCAAATCTAGATTGGGGACTTCTATTGACGGCGATTTAAAGGGCCGTGGGGGCGGGTATTCGCGATGGGTGTTAGCCACCACAAGGGCCGTTTTATCGGGATGACCGCCGCCACGGGATAGCGGGTGAACTATTCGACCGCTACGAGGATTTCGCGGTCGCCCCGGTGGGAATCGCGGGAACGGCCCCTCGGGATCGATCCCGACCAGCTGGTTCGTTCGACTGACGCGGAACGGCCTCAGGGGCACCTGGTGACCGCGCGGGGCAGCCCTGTTGCACCCCCAGGCGGCCACGTCTTGCGGCGCCAATTTGGGCCGGAGATGCTGGCGACGTAAGGTCTCCCGGGTGCGCTGTGGGTAGAGATGACTGGCATATGTACCAGCTGTGCCACACACACACACGTGTACAAAGACAAAGAGGCCCCGTGTAGGCTCCGCATGATGTCGGGGCAAGTGCTGTTAGCCAGTAGCAGCAGCAGCAGCGCCTATGAATGCGGCCACGGCACGCGAGCGGTGGGTGGGTGGCCACCACCACCACGCCCGCCCGGCCGCCTTTGTCTCCCCAGTGCCGATGTTTACTACACACCGCACGGGGTACTTATTTTAAGGTCGAGTCGACCTAGGGGAGGCACAGGACCGGTTCAAATATTCGTCACTGGCGGTGTTGGACCTGGGCAGGATTGGAACTCGGTCCGCCGGATTCGTAGCGCGACGTAGGCCACGGCAAGGTAAGGTGAATGAGCTTCTTTACCGGCTAAACGGGTAACGGG